CTTCTCCACTTGTGTCAGTTATCGCCATATTCCTCATCTGACAACACTGACTCATTTCTGCAAGTTGCAGCACATAAAAAAAGGCAAAAAAGAGTGCCCTTCTTTCTGACACAAGGTGCGTCTGTTTTGCGCCCTCCTGAATTCACCATCTAAACTACAGCGTCCACATAACCACGCATTCTTGTGCCCCAGCAACACAGTAGAGGTGGTAATTCACGTTTTTGCCGTGTTTGTCCTAAGCCCCGATGTGCAGGAGCATCTTCACCACCTGCAAAAATCTAAAACAAAACACTTAGTACGTATATGCCTAATGTGCCCGTCTATTTACAACCGACGTCGCGCTTGAGTCAGACGTAAATTCACAAACTATCCTCGAGGTTATGCACTTCACTGTGCATAACAGACCGTGGTGTAACCGTGGCTGACCTCTGGGCCTGGCAATCCGCAAAACCATTGGTCAGTCACAAATGCAGAAAGCACTGCATGACTGCCAGATTGTCGGTAGAGTGCATTCGCTTGATATATTTTACCGTGATGCCGTATCGCTGGAGCCGACAAGCCTGTGCACAGGGAATCCCTGAAAATTCCTTGTCAGGTACGGTAGCCATCTAGAAGTGGTGAGAACAGTGACGTGCCTGAAATATAAATATCGCTGACACTTCTTGATACAACGCCAAAGCCTCAACTATACCCTTTCCCTAATAGCTGGGGCTTTCAGAAACCCCTCGCGACGGAGTGTATACATTTGAACGCATCTTCCAGCAGCGCCTCGTCTCTGCATAGAAGCCACTCTGCTTTTTTTCTCCTTGGGACATTTCTTCCTCTCCTGTATCCGTAGAAGACGTAAATAGCGTTTTAATATCTGATATAATATTCGGTATGCGCATTCTTTCCTTGCTTCCGGAACGTGCAGCTCAATGGTGTCATCCGCCGGGCGCAACTGCGCCCTATAGTCTGCCGCCCACCGCATGCTTAGGATTGTGTTGCGGTTAGCAGGTCGAACATTAAAGTCCCATATCATGCTAATATGACCGGCTTTCGAATCGATCTCTTAACTTGGCCCATAGCCTTGCAAATTCGCTTGCCCTGTCAACCATTCACGCTGGGTAGCCGCAGAGACTGCGCCAAGGAGTGGACTGCAAGATTGTGTCTCCTCGCCGTACCCTCATGTATCTGAACCACGTTGCAATCTGCGTTAAGTAGCACTGACAACGCCTATCCATTAATACGGACTTGGATCATTGCAAAGATAGCTTGACAAGGGTCTGCGGTTGTATCCATAACTGTGCCTCACGCTAAGTGAGGGCCACGCTGTTTCAGTTAGGGTTTTATTTCGCCTGCAGGCTCTTGTCAAAGCCATGTTCTTTCAACTCCCCCGATTTCCTTAAACTGCAGTCTGGTCTTATGTAACCTTGATTGCGGAAAAATTAACAGGTGGGTCCCACAATACTTTCTCCTGGCCTCCTTGTTGCCGAAATATTTGCTGCTTTGCAGTTCCCGCTGCTCCTCCCTTTCTGGGTACAGCTGGTATTCGCCGTTCAAATATTCATATGTTCAATAGCCAGGTCGTTCCCAAGCCTGCCCTTCCTTCTCTGTTAGGGCAGTAGATGCGCCATTTCCCCTCTCTCTGATGCGTAGGTATTTCATCAATTCTGTCATATCAGCGCTTTAGCCTATCAGTTCCCTCTCCGCTGTCCATAGGGTTACTCACTACCTTATTCCGTACCACTAAGACCGAAGTGTCGACTCAACCGTTGGATTTCTGTTCACAACTGATACTTGTCAATACAACGTTGTATCGTTAGCTTCCCTGTCTAGAGCGCACCTTTGTCATAGCTTATTCCTGTGCCGACCTAAGAATGATACTGCATTGCGGCGAGTTCCGTATAGCTTTTAGGGGCCGGTGTACTAAAGAAACGCAATATTTTAGACGGAACCACCGTTGTCATGCATTCCCTCCTATCAACGACGATGCCAACAGCAACTGTACTACTGATTCCTGTTTGAGACAAACGTAAAGCTCTAAAAGAGGGAAGAAACCTCATATACTGTCTCCACATCCTGCCAGTAATAGTGTCTGAATGGGCTCAACAGACATTCCTCAAGACTTGTTTTTTCTGTAAAACACTTCCGTTGGACGTGGGATGCATATATTGAGGTTGATTCAAGTCAAACAAGCTGTTGAAGGTTTTCAACACCCCACCATATTATAGACTTTGATCGATCTTTATTGTGTACAGCCCGATGGTCAATATTCATAAGTCCACTTGAGAGATAATTGCCATAATTACATAGCCCGAGTTTCACGCGGCATAGGACGGCCGTGTGCTGCAGTTGAGTCAAAGGCTTAATACAGCAGTCTTGCCAACTGCAGTTTACCTACCCTTCAGCCCACAGGGATTCTGGGACTAGCAGCCCACGCATTTCCTGTTGGAACGCAGAGGACGGTGCCTGCCATCTAGTTTCACTCGCGTCGCTGCAACTAACTATGGGAGGCAAACCAACATGCAAACACGACTATTCCCCCTATTCTGCATTTGTGAACACTTTAGACAAACATCGAGTTATTATTTGCCTCGCACATAGCCGGCGTGCACTGTCGTTAAACTATTCCCATCGCCTGCAAACAGAGCAGCGTCCACTATGGTGCCTAAGGAGGGCACCAAAGGGAAGGGATACGGCATTTCCCTCCTGTTTCCACTAACAGTTTCAAAACACTTGTAGAAAGTTGCAAAAATTCGGTGTTTTTTGTGTTTGCTCTGCTTTATACGCTATTTTCCACCGTACGAGCTGAGGGTTTGCTCGTCACCGTATGGACTTGAATTTTCCTAGGGGGAGCATACACCAGAGAGGAAAGAATGAATTGGAGCAGCCAAGCTCCTAAAAACATTTTTTCAACTGAAAAACGTAACTTCTGGTTTCTGCGAGTTTGTTTTTCTCCTGTGCTGAGGCAGTATGCAAATGCCCTTCGCGGTACCGAAAGTCTAGAGTTTGTCCGTTAAGAAGGGATTTCAATCTACAGAAAACAATAATTTTTAAAAGATGCTGTATAGTGAAAACGTAGAAAAAGAACCACTGAGTAGAGGGGCATATGCAGGCAGCAGGTTTGGGGGATGTGCGGTTTTCTCCGAGTTTCGGGTGGTTGGCGCTCGTCAAAGGACACCACGAAGGAAGTTCTAATTATTCTTTCCAAAATTTTTGCATCAAATGCTTTTTTAAAAGGCAAAAAAAGACACATGCAGAATGTTATAAGAATCCTTACCGATCAGCTCCTGTGCCGATCGATACAGTTCTGTTCCCCCGCAGTGAAACGTACACTGAAGTTTCCTTTGACGCCTTTTCCAGCGAAAGGCCATCAACATTATGAAGTAGTAACAATCCAAATCATTCCCCTTTCTTTTCAAACAGAAGGGGCAACTGACTGCAACAATCTCTGCGGCGCTGTTGTACAAGTTTCAAGTTCAACATCTTGGAACGGAGGACGAATCGAGATGACGCCTCCTTCGTTGCCTGCAATCTTAGTTTCCTGTTTGGTATCATTTCTTTAATGTGAACAAGTTCGCGCAAAAAATCAATTAGGACCTCCCTGCCTAGCTTGGCTGTTGCCGCCGCCTGAACTTGCAAGTCTTCAACGCGCTTCCGAAGGCCTCAATTTAGTATTTCTCGTGCCAGACTCCTCTTGTCAGCATTTTCTTCTGTCTAAGCCCCCCCAGAATTGCTTGTAAGGCCTAGTGGACGGTCTTATCATCTTATTTCATGCCATTGCTGTCCGCTTTTTATCTGGGCACATTGATTCTGCGACAAGGATTAGAGACTGGGTTGGGGCCTGCAGGCCCTCGAAGGATCAGAGCCCGCAAGCCTTTGATGTATTGTCGAGCATTCGCCTTGCTTCTTTTGCACAGGGCTAAGTGCATGCTTGGTTGAGTACAAAATATCTGCAGTAGTAGCAATTGAAACAGCTGCAGCAAGAGCAACAACAGTGGCAGCAACAACAGCAGGAGCAGTGGGAGCAGGAGTCGCGGCGGCAACAGCAGCAGAACCACCACCAATGGGCTCCTCAGGCTCAGAAACAGCAGGCGCCTACAACGTAGACGGCGTTCCGCATTTTCCTGAGCCGGTGTCTATAGATCGCGTGCCTCAAGTCATTGCAGCAGCAGAATCTTTACCTGTACCCTGGTGGGCCTTCTGGCGCAGCCCCCAACGCCGCCCTTACAAACCCCAAGTTGTTGAGGTCTGGCAACACGTCGCATATGAATATCACGTTCTTGGGAAAAGGAGAAAGCAAGATGACTGAAGCATCCTGATAATCCTGAAGTCGCCAAGAACAGTCTGCGACTCTGTTTTAATTAAAGTGAACCTCCAAGTAGCAGACACACAATATAAATTGGCCAGATACGTGACACATTCGTGCATGCATGCGCATGTAAAAGTGCAATAAATTCGCAGCGGGAGCCTGCATATATGCATAGAACAACCCTCTAAGGACCTCGAGGACCCTCCTCAAGTTTATTATCAACTTCTGCCGGTGGGCTATCTTAATACAATTTGTCCTGTTCTCTGTTCATCAATGCATGCGATCGATACTAACCCTTCGGGGAGCCCTCCAGGGGGCCCCACCGGGGGCCCCACAGGTCCCCCCCGCCCTTTTGGTCGTCATCTAGCCGGTGGCATTTTTCCAAACTTGACGAATATTGCAAAGGTAAGATTTGTAGGACAACGCTTTGCAGTTCCCGGACACATCAGGTGTATACACCTCCAGGTGGCGTATTGCCTGTGAGGTTTGTGGCTTGTTTTATCTTACTGGTCAAACTGTATATACATGCGTTGAGGTTGGCATGCCAGATGCTTTAGGTATTACTTCAGAATATTCCCGAAACCCGCGTGACTATGGTGTTATTACTACTGTTATTTCTGCTTCCAAATCGCTGCAGTGTCTGTTGCTGCTGTTGCCGCTCTTGCTGCAGCCACCAGCGTTCTCCTACTCCTTTCGAAACGCGGAAATGAACGTCCGGTTTTTCGGGGGGGGTCAGGAGGGGGAAGAGAAAGAGGAAAACTCGGAGAGTGACGAGGAAGAAGGGGAGCAGTCCAGCAAATGCGTTTCTGCCTTCAAAGACTTCACATCTGCTGTGTTTCCCAACACTTATCCCCTCATTTGGCTGGCCTTACCCTTTGCCGTTTGCGCCGTGCTGTCCGCCGCCTCCTTCGGCAACAACACCGATACGGAAGAAGGGGGCCTTGTGGTATTTACGAGAGAAAACCAATTCAACGCTTCAACCAGTGATCCAGACACCCAAACCACATTTGTAGGCAACCATATTGTTAACTTCGCTTTCCTACAGTGTACACAGCAGGCACCTGTTACGGACCTTTTTAATACGCATATGTATGTACACATTGGGGCAACCGCCGCGAGAATTAATTACAGTTAAGTATGCATATTACGATTAGAATTGAATGATTGATGCTAGCTGCGGAAGGGTTGTTTCCCACTGCTAACACGATAACTGTTGACTCAATATGACTAACATATACAGGACAAAAATTGGAATCAATACGATAAGAGAGAAACATAGACCTACAAATGCCGAATGGCAAGCATCAGCCCGAGCAAATGGAATTTGTCTCTCAGGTCTCACTCTCCAGTTCCTGGCATGCGCGCCCGTACCCACGTGGCACCTTCTACTCTCGACCATTGGATTTAGGTCTTTGGCTTTATGGTTTAGGGTTTGATATGTGTATCCATGGGTGCTTAGGTGAAGCATATGAGCACGAGGGATCTGACATTTCAAGGAGTAGTCGTCCTCATCTTCATTTCGCTAATCAACACGGCAGCCTGGCTAGGGTGTATGTTGGCGAGGTGCGCCTCCATTCTGAAGCCCTGAGTTGTATAACTTCAGTAGTTGCAGCCTAGGACTAGAACGCATTCGCTTGCTGGCTTGCTTTACGCGAGAGAAGTCGAGTATTTATGCCATAATTCCCCCAGCCACACGTAAAAGGGACGCCTTTAACTGTTTAACGGGTGTTCTGGCGTTGTTTGTTGTGTGCTTTTAGGGCTATATTTTTGACTATAATTGTGAATATTGGCCTCTACCAGAAACAAAGCGTCTCCTCCTTGCTGACGACAGTCGATCCCGAATTGATGTATTTCCTCTGGAGTGTTGGCATGTACATCTTCTGGCAAAGAAACGTACGACCAGGTAAAGGACACAGAAGTGCTGAGGTCCAGCCGCTGGTGGGGGCTTTCGATATTCTTGGCTGTGAGGTTCCCTAGAGGCTGCAATGTGTTGACAAGGGTTATTTGCAGGTGTGTTTGCCTTTGGGTAGGTAGGCGCTTTGTGCTGACATTCGTTTATCATACTTGTACTTGTGCAGCATTAGCACCTGTTTTGCTTGTATACTTAACCCTGTTTTCATTGGTTGTTTGCGCTGACCCGCGTTTGCCTCTGCCTGCAAGCACCCTAACTGCCTGCACTTGGTTTGAAGCTGCACTTATTTGCATTGACCAACACTTCTCCCTGGTATTATCTAATTTATATTCGATACAAACAATACACAAACCATTCCATACGCATAGAAACCAATGCATAACCTAGCATCTGGACTATCTTGGGTTTTATTGGCACCTGTTTTTCTGCACAGGGAAGATGTTTTGTGTGAAGGACATCGACGCGACAAAGTCAACAATCCAGTTATATGACACTTCTTTATTTGGACAATCTTTGTTCGTCCTGCCTTCCATCGCCAAATGCCAGAGTGTCCTCAGTCTTCTAATTATCCTTTTGGCTGCTCGGCGGCTTGTGCAAAGTATCATGATTTTTTACTTCGAATTGGGGTTTATGGCCAGCATGAACGGTCAGGTTGTCAAGTACCTTACCAAATATGCAGCATTAAGGAAGCTCAACACCAAATGGTAGGCAACGCAAAGCGCTCACCCCTGAACTATCGGTGGCCGCACTCTTCAGGCGACAGCTGTTGATGCTGCTGCTGCAGACTTATTTCGTGAAGGAGCCGTATTGGCGCTTATTTTTGTTGGCACCTCTCTCGTTGTTTCGGCTGCCTCTTCGGCTGTCTTTACTGCTTTGCGTGCGTGTTGTGAGTTTCTGTTGATCTTCATTATCTACTCAAGTATTGCTTGTTGGTTGCTGTGGTCTTGACACTTGTAGGGCTGCATATCATCTGTGTAAGGATACCCTCTCCCAAGCTTCGTGCGACGGCACGAGCCAAGAAGATGACGAAGGGGGGGGAGGGCTCCGAAGCGCAGAGTTAAAAAGAGGCAGAAGCATGGTGTCCGTCACCTCCAGGACTTCGCGCTTCTCACGGCACCCTTCCTTGAGAGTCCCCACTAGAGCGCTTCCGTCTCTTGTTCTCGACAAGCCGTAAGACATTTTTTCGCATTATTCATTTTGCACACGCCAGAGTGACCAGATGTAATGGCTGTAGGGTTAATCTGTTGGACGTTTGCTTGCGTGCTCATTTGGGTGCTTCCTGTTCTCTTATCCTCTTCCTCCTGTGCTTATGCTTCGATTCCCCCGTTTGCTCTCATACATTTGATTTTGCTTCTCTTGCTGTTTCCCCAATCTATTGTTGCATTTGCCTGATTCGCCTACTTCTTTGCTGGTCTGTCCTTTGACTGCTCCCCTCTATTCATCTTCCATTATTCTTGCAAGCTTCGTCCGTCCACACAGTTTGCACATGAGTAAAAAAAGTACTAATAAACAAGGGGTGACCCCAGAGGTATTAGCATCACCTAAATCTACGACACTCAAACAGAGGATTGTGAAAACAAAAATGGGTGCAGCGATAACAAAAGAAAAGCACCTCAGGCACCTAGAAAGGCAAGGTGAACAGAAGCGACAACAGCTACACCTACCTTACAATACTGGCAACACGTGAAACCGCTACACCGGGAGCAGCGGTCCACAACCCCTTTCTTGCTACTAATGTCTTCTGTGACTTGCCTCCCGACGCGTGCTGTGGGGATCATGTTACAATGATCTCCATTTTCAGTCTTTCCCTTACTGTACTGCAGGGAGTTGCCGCCTCCTCCATGCTCAGCTAAGGTGGGAAAGGCAAACATCAGTAGGTGTAAACATTTTGGTGGACGGTTTGTTGACCGCACTGTCCGCATAAATTATTTTCGTTTTCGCTTCCAAGAAAACAAGAATATCCAAAGTCGGGAGCTGCGAGGACAAGGTATGCCGATCTCGGCTAGGCTTGTTTGTTTGTCGTTTGCTTTCGTTTGCACTGGCGTTTGTTCGTCTCCATGGCACTTGGTCGTTCCCACAAAATCTGCGCCTACGGAGGCTGTCTGCTGCATGCCCTCCCCCACGTTTATGCTCGGTGTTTTCGTTTTTAGTACTCTGCTTGTGTTTCGTCTTCGTTGATATACGCGCAGCCTTCCATGCCGACATTGCTGCACCCTTCGGTATTGCCTATGTGATTGTCTCCGTCTCGGTGCGACTGGATGTGTGCCACGCTGAAGTCGCTCTGCCAAAAAGTAGTCTAATCGTATAACGGCCTTCCTGTGCTCTATTGCTTGTCGTTTTGTGTTTCTGCATCTCTGTACCATTGTTCGGGTCCGTGTGTATCAGCCGCACCCGGGTATATGTTAGCGTTTTTGTCTGTGTCACCGCAGGTCTACCGAGTCAGCTGACAAGGTCATCTATAGAACGCTGCAAGCAGAGCCGAATTCACCACTGGTTGCTGCTGCAGTACGTCGCGGTCTTTCCCCCGGCCGTATTCTTGCAGGGACAGCGCATTGAGGTGGACTCGAAGGCGAGGGCTCGAGAGGTCTCGGACCGCCTGTTCTACGCTCTCGCGAAGGACGCTTCAGAACTAGCAGCAGAGCAACAACCGTTTAGAGACTCTCCCTCCAATATGAGGCCCAAAGGAACCCCTTTCCTCAATGATTTTCATCATACCAACAAACAACAGCAGCACAGCGAACAAGAAAGAACAGTTACTTGGCTAGGAAGCCCAGAGCTTCAGAAAGTTGTCACCATAGACCCGACAGAGGAGGTTTGTCGGACAGGAGCAGCAGCAGCAGCAGCTGGAGCAAATGCGGCGGCCACTTCTGCGACAGTTGCGACATCAATGGCAACACCTGAAGGGACGCCAAACTCTGCAGAAGTCTCTGCACCGATTCCCAACAACAGCACCGCCTCCACAGATCCAGCTGGGGAGGGTGATTGCAACACGCGACTCAATTCATCCTGTCCTCCTTCTGTATCGTTGCAAGCCTCCCTGCAAGGTAACTCTTCTTATGAAGGCGAAGGGCTCTGTCCCCAAAGCGAGGCCTCTGCCTCCGTCTCTGAGGCAGCCTCTGTCTGCTCCACGCACAAAGACGGACAACGAAGCGCTGGTAAACGAATCGCAGAGATACTCGGTGCCACTACCGCTCCTGCTTCCGCTGCTCCTGCTGCTGCTTCGGGAAGCAGCAGCAGCAGCATTATACGCGCTGGCCGCCAAAACCTCGTCCCCGAGGCTACAGAAAAGGATGAGGGGCCACAGAGGGACAAGGAAGATCACAATGCGGAAGGCTCCGACAGGGTTGCCTGTGGCGGTAAGCGTAAAGTAGTCAAATAATTTAACTCTTATAGTGTTAAGAGCTAAGGATGTAGCTCGAATAGACGCACACGAATGGAGTGTGCCTACATCGGGCTTGTTCGCCCTTGAATTTTTGATTACTTAAAACTTCAAGTTCATCTATACTTCAGAACAGGAACCTGCCCTCACTTTTGTCTTCGGAAGTACCGTTTACCTGCGTGCTGCAATGCTGCAATTGTACATACAGTATACATACATATACATGTACATACCAAGGTTTGTCCGTTGTATTTCTGTACATGTCCTCAGGGGCGGCACGGAGAGGCAACACGCAGCACATATCAACCCTGACTTCGTTTAATATTGCAATCAGGGCGCCTTCACTGGACAAGGAACAGAACGAGCATAAGCAGGTGAGTAACCGATTTCCAATTGATTCATTTGGCTTTCTTGGTTGGATGCCCTCGCCTAGACGATGTAACCTCCGATGCTGAGGAGGCAGACACGCCTGCACATTTCAGGGATTGGCATAGCTTCTTCTTATGCCATTTATCGTACATGCGATGTTTTGCTGCATTTGCCCTGCTTATTGAATTTTAAATGTTGCACGTTTCCTTCCCGCCTCGCGCGTTTACACTGCATGTGAACCTGATCAGTTGTTTCTTCTTATCCTCTGTCCTCTTCCAACTGTTTGCTTTTCAGGGACCGAAATTTGCGCCAGATACTCAACAAGGCGTCTCCGTGCCGGTGGAGAGTGGTGGATTCGCAGCTGTCTCGACGGGACCACGTGCTCACCCCACTTCCAAGCAACGCACCCAACAGCCGCAGGCCGCCAGCGCATATGCGTCTGCCTCCGTCGGCGCACGCGCTCGAGAGAAGGGATGTGGGATGGACAAAAAGGACGAGGAAGGAGTTGAGATGACAGCGGCCTCAGCGACGTCACAGCCACCACTACAGATTGCAGCCCACCGTGTCAGCAGTACAACACATGATGAAAGCCTATCAGTCGCCAAGGAGTTGTGGAGAACATCCTGTCCTTCGGTGCCTCCATACCAGCGAGACCCCAGTCTAGAAAGCGGGCCATCGTTTACGTACGCTTCAGATAACGACATGGTAAAAGAAGCCATACGTAGAGAGGAAAGGAAGCCCAAAAGCGGGGATTCGAAGGAGGAGGTGCCACATGACGAAAGGCAGAAAATGACTTCAGAGCTTTTAGGGGCTGTTAATACCGCAAATTCTTCGTTCTTCGACGACTATTCCAGCAGCTGCTTCTTCTCGCGGACCTCCCCAAGCGCCTCGGACTGTCACCTGGCAGCCGCATCGAGCGCTAGTGGTGAACGCGTTGGACCTACAGGAGCCTCCCGCCGTCTCCTCGACCCCAGCAGCGCGGGAGAAGAGGACTATTTCCCTGTCCGAAGGAGACGCCGTGCCTCCAAGCGAAACATGCCTGAATACTTCACACGATCGTTCGTCGAAATGTTCCTGAAGGAAGACGAAGTGGAGGAGTTCATGAAGCTCGTCGACCTAGCAGGTACAAACAAAATGCAAGCAAGAACAGATGAGGCTCAAAAGCATCACATGATGCATGATTAGGTGTTTAGGCGTCCTATGCCGTTTGACCTCCTTATGCTTTGAAGGCTCTTACAGTGGGCCCAACGATAGTCCTGGCAGCCAGTGCCTTGTAGGCCTTCCCATCCATAGGGTGTGCTGCGAACGACAATTCGATGGGCGGCATCGTGGGGGCATCTTTTGACTGCTTGGCTCCTGTTCGCTGGTTTGTCTGGCCAATTGTTTTGCTGTGATTCGCCTGGAGGGTAATTGGTGTTTTCTGCGTGTTTTTAGTTGCTCGATTATTTGCTGAATTACACCTTTCCCAGTGCTGTGGTTGAATGGTGCCTGAACAATAATGCTTGCGCTTGGGCTGTGCAGGGCACGGGAAAATAAACCAGCCGATGTTTAAGAGGGCTGTTGTCTCCATCTATAAGATGCGGAAAGCTCTCCTTAAGTCCCTCACGGTATATAGTTGATGATTCAGGCTCTTGTCGGCCATATTACTACGATCTAAAGTCTTGTGCAGCCTCGACGAGATTGAGTTGAACACGGCATAAGGCTGTGCAATTAGGTTCTGGGCAAATGCTGCCGGTGATTAAGGATTACGATTTAGGGTTAATGCTATATGCACCGTTTTGTTTGTTTTATCTGCAGAGTCAGGCGAGCATTTGCAAGACAGTTCAAAGAATGATTTCAGTGGTTTTGTGGGTGGCAACTCTCGTTGCGATGTTGCTGGTATTCGGAGTCAACCTGAACACCGTGCTAGTCTCCGGCGCTGCGTCGATATCCGCCTTAGTCGTCGCATTGAGTGAGTGGCATACGGGATGTTGGTTGCCTGAGTACATGAGGCTTTCCGTAGCTTTTATGGCTAACTGGGATGGTTACTTTACTCGGCCTCGTATGGGCTAATGCAGGCCTGTCGCGACATATGTACGTTCCTTTAAGCTTGTTTGTGCTCATTGAAAAGAACAATACAGCAACAAAACAAACATTGCGCCAGATGGCTTTTGCTTCCGTCAAGTCATAACTGTCCTTTCCCTGTAGACCCTTTGGAGTCACGTTTTTGGACTGGGAAATTAGGTTTACTGTACAGGCGTGGGGCCTCATGCTTCAGGATCCAGGAGCTAGGAATTATATGCAGCAGGGTGCAACAGCCGCTTCCCTTGCTTGTTTTTACGTGCTCTGCTTCTATATCGTTGTCGTTGTTTGGAGAATTTAAGAACTACTGTGTTTTTATGAAGTTCGTAAATTTGCCTTTTGCCGAGCAGGAAGCACTGCGGACGTCATCGTGCCCCTTGGTTTCCTTCTGTTTTCTTGTGCTTCACGTAATATGGGATGCTTTTGCCATGTTTGGTTTAGGTTACATTTACCAGAATTTCATAACTGCTGTCATTTTTGTGGCGTTTACGAACCCCTACAACGTCGGTGACAGGGTGCGCATTGACAACGGGGAGGCTATGTATGTCCGAAACATCCACACCTATACGACGGAGTTCGTCACGATCCATTCCAAGCCGGTACGGCCTACACCGATACCCTATCTCGCTTGGTTTGTTGATTGCAGACACTAACATGCAGGCGAACAATCCGTTCAAGCGGGGGGTGGGGTTTAAGACAAGGTTTCGTTGTAACATGATTACCATGCCGTTGACAGCAACGCCAATCCCTGCCGTTGAATTTCTTCCGCGCGCATTAGAAACTGTTGGCAAAAAATTGGCAAAGTGAATAATGTTCTGGGGCTTTGCAGATAGTGTACAGCAACAGCGTGCTCTTTGGCCGTCAGCTGACAAACGAGTCTCGCGCCACAAATGCCACGTTCTCAATGCCGATGCGCCTAGACATCCGCACGCAACTACAGTCCCTGCGATTTTTGGAGGCGGGGATGCGTAGGGCAATAGCTGCTCGACCCATGGACTTCGTCAAGGACTCCTTCAGCATCTACATAACGGACGTGCAGCCAGGACGGTGGATGGATGTTAGCCAATTCCCCTTAAGATAAAATTCACTGGAGACATACCAGGCAGCCATTTAATATGTTTTTACATCGAGAGTGCTTTTAATCACTTGCTCTCCTGCTTGCGATTTTGTTTGTTTATTTTTTTGCAGATAACTGTTTGGCTCAGTGCAGTAGAAGGGTGGGGTAATGCTCCCAAAGTGTTGCGGCTACGGACGGACATGTACCTCGTGCTGCAACGTTTGTGCCAACGATTCGGAATATCTTACCAAGAGCCGTTGCTGCCTGTACAACTCAACGCTACAACACCTACAACAGCACCGGGAGCTGCGCCTGCAATCTCCAACCCTCAGGCACAGCAAACAGGGGCCCCGCTTCACCGTAAGATACACCAGATTTTCCTTACCCGTCTTCTTTGGTCTCTGTGCCATTACCAAGCACGTGCAGTTTAGCTCCTCACTTAATTTCCCCATGCCACTGCCCACTGCAACGCTTGCCTCCACCTCTTGCAGAAGCAGCCTCCAAACTTGCGGGCAGTATTGACAGTTGAGCCGATGTGAAATATTAAACTACCCCGTATGTGTGTGGTTTGAGGAAATATGATCAATGTTTTTTCGTTATACGGGGACACATTTCACGAAGCGTTAAGTGTGGAGCCGCATGTTTGCTGCTGTCCGGGGAATATCACTATCCGATAAAGAACTACCTACCCCTTATTTTTCTGTGCGAGTTATATCATTCCCAGCTGCCCAACCGATTTCAAAACTGGTTATAGGTGTTAAGCTTTTAGGGGTTGTGTTGGAATTTTGGTTCAGACTTTCACTCATCAACATCCCATGGAGCTGCGGCAGAAGATTTTTACGGGGCTGTGTCTAATTCGGGGAGTTGGGAGCAGGCTGAGGGCCGCTACAGGGGTAGCCCCCTACTCCACAGCGGCACGCTACTGCAGGATCTACAGTGTGACCCTTCCGAATTCGCCGGATCGGAGGCTCCCACCCCTCTTCGTCCTTCATCTCAGGATTTTTCAGGAGGGCAACTGAAGCGGAGGCGGCCAAATGCAGCTCAGGATCCCAGCCAAATTCGTTGCAAAAAAACTTCAGCAACAAGCTGCAATTGCTGGTATCAAGACGAGAAAGACGGGATTCGTGGACAGTTTAAGAAGACCTCGAAATATCCTCACAGCCTCAACGAATTCGGTCAGGTACTATCATCGGCCTCAAGCGCGGCTGCTTCAAGCTACAGCCCACGATCGACGTCTAAAGATAAAGAGACAGAGACAGACACGGAGACGGATGAAGGAAAAAGTCAGTACTTTCTGGCCGGGGATGAACCGTGGCATAGGTGCTCCAAGGGCCATTCTTGCGTCGCTTTCCCGCCCGGTAGGGAGGCGGTGGCTGCAGGTTGGCAACCACAGCGAATGCCATCATATCGATCTAGGCGTGTGGACACAGCTGTACAGGGAAATGCATTTCCGAGAAGACGACGCCGGGGGTCAGTACTTCGGGACGACGGTGCATCTTCCCGTTAACTCGAAAGAGGGGCTTTGAAAGACCAAGGCTCCCAAACACCGGCGAACAATGCCCAAAGCGCTTGCCTGCGTGCATTCACGCATGCCCACTCACATTTGCCTGCCCATTTTCCAAGGCGGTTGAGTCGTTCTGGGTCTGCAGAGCTGCTGCACATCCACTTCCACATGAACCTATAATTTTGTGCTGGTTCGAAGAAGCCCACGAGTGATGGGCTCTTCATCACACAACGTTTTCCGCAGGAAAACGTTAAATGGCAGGGATAGTGTTTGTGATCGTAAGAAATTGCCGCTTCTGTTTAGTCAATGTAAACTTGAACCTGGCTGGGTGGCGCGGTGTACGGCTCCTCCTTACTCCCCTGTAGACGGGTTGTTCGTGACCAGAACAAAGGCTGTTAGTTCCCATATATTCCTGGCTAGTTATTGAGGGAAACCTCGACAGTAAAGGTGGTAAACTGTGAGTATTCCTATGAGGACAGAAATTGTATAGGTGAACTATGGGAGGCTTCAAAATTTGTAGCAGCCGATTCGGAAGCCTGTTTGAAAAGACACTGCTTTTGTTGCACCTTCGGAGTGTGCTTGGGGTTAAGGGCATACTGAGCATAATGAGACATTGGCGTTTTTGTGTTCCTCGGTTCTTCATACTAAAATACCATCGTCGGACGGATGAACGCGGCCGCTTACCTTCCTTCCTTTTACCACCTGGGGCATCACCAACAAACCTCTGTTTAGGCTAGAGTTGCCCGGGTTTTGGGTATTGGTGCAAACCTAATGAATTGGTCTGACTTCTTTTCACTGAACTCTACGAGCAATCGTTGGAAGCTGACCAGGAAGATCTGATACACACGGAAAAGTCAACCTGTCGATGTGCCTCCTGAGTAGCGGAGAGGACTCTGCAGCAGCATATGCACGGAGAGGAAACCACGTTAAAGAGTCACGTCCTAAGAAAAATCTATGCATATTTTCATTGGACCAGCGTGCGGAAGATACCTTGCAGAGCAACGTCATTTCAATGAATTCCCCTTGCACCAGACTTATTCGACGATACTGCATTGTAGATTTCTTTGAATGGCTAGAAGACTAAATTTAGACGGGGGCAGAGTTCGCAAAAACTATATGAAAGGATGCATAAGAGGAGAATAGTAAAATAATCTTTCTGGGAAGTTGTCTTTTACCAACATTTCAGAACCGGTTCTGGCAAATGGTTCCTTAGCGCATGACAGTTTCGACGCTTGTAAAAGAATCTCCACTAAAAAAGGCTAATTGCATATTTCAAGGGGGGCACGGGCCATGTATGTTCGATGTTGCAATTTTAAACTGCTATCCAAGTCAATTCAAGTACAGTCGTGATGCCCACGAGATGTAACCCCATCATCACGACTGTGCTTGAATTGACTTGGATAGCAGTTTAAAATTGCAACATCGAACACACATGGCTGTAACCCCATCCTTCACACTGTGCAGAGGCAGAGGAGTGTAGTGCAGACTGCCTCCAAGAAAAAGTGTACTGTTGGGTTATATTGACATTAAGCATCATCATTCAAAGCGTTTTACTGCAGTGCGATGACTGGCACGTATCGTGCAGCAACTGGCAATTTCAGCTGCACGCCCCCACAACCGATGGCCTGGCGTGATCGAACCTTCACGCAGTACAAGAAAACTCCCAGCCACAACGATGTAAAAATAAACCACTGAAATATTATTTAAGGTTCAAATTTTTTAAGGCAGAAAGAGCAGCTGAAGGGGATCAGTTCATGCCAGTTGATGGGTGGCAGCTACCCGATGGTCCTGAGCGGTGGGGCTTGCTCGATGCGTTGCAGCTGACTCGACGAAACTTCCAAATACACAGTTGTCCGTTTTTTTACGTCTAATAGAGTTGAGTTACAAAAATTATCCTTACGAAAATGACTGCCATTCCCCTGTTTTCCGTGTTGTTCTCGGCTCTTTCCACGGTCGCCCGAACGGAGACGGCGGTTCCTCGTTCAGATGTAGGGGCATTTGATGCCTACAACGAAACTCTCCTCCAGGAGAAGACTCCGGTGACCTACGCGAAGAAGGAGAAACCGATCGGGATAACTGTCGCGACAGTTGCTACCGTAGCTGTCACCCTCAGTTTTATATTCCTCATTATCCGCTGCTTTACAAAACTGGGCTCCAGCAATAAAAAAAGTACTGGTTTAATGAGGCGTCGGATGTCTGACCAAAGCGCAGGAGACTGTGTTGTAAGCATCAATTTACGAATTCATAGACCCTGCATGCCGCTGTTCGATGTGATATGCGGGGTGCTCGAATCGCAAGAGCACCGGTATGTGATGTGAATGGCTCTTCCGCTAAGCCGGTTAGTTACGGTGATCAACTTGGCTTTCACGAACTTAGTGTTGTGGAAAATGATGGAATAGATCCCGTCATAATTGGGCATGGGGGCGTCTGTGCAGCGGGCGTTTGTTCTTGCGTTGCATCGAGACTGTTTCTAAATATCAAGAACGGATATTCATGGTACAAGGGTGACGTGAGCCGAGCTGCCTTCTACTTTGTGTAGATTAACCAGGAGTATGATCACGATCTGAATACATTGGAGGTAGTCTTCATTCTGCCATGGCAGAGGACTGTCCCCATGGGATCGTGCGCACGTTGGAAACTGCAGTTGGTTGTCTCCAAGTGTGCATGCAAATCCAAGTAGACCTCTGTAAAGGTTTGTAAAATATTTGATGCGTTTCTGGCTGCCCTAATCTGGCACCAATCGTCATCTTCCTCTTGCATCCTTGTTTGACGTTGCGCGTTATTGACGTGCGAATATCCTACTCGAGCAGTTGGGTGCCCAGGCACCAGAATCGCTCTTACTACAGCCTGCCGCTAGTGCTTCAGCCACTCTTTGCATGGGGAGGGGAGGGAGGAGTGTCTACATTAATGGTGAAGCGATCCGTCTCTAAATAACACCGGCCTGTGGCTGCATCAGTCGTGTGGGGTGTGTGATGGCGTATAACCAGGCGTAGGGTAGTGACGAAAGCTTGCACGATGGACCGTGCTTTGGTCCAGCGTTATGCGGTTATCGAGTTCAACGGAGGTCGAGCAAAGAGGGGGTGAACAGTTGACAATTAGCTTTATGTGCTTGCCGTGTCGGGTTTGTGTTGTATATATGGAGATACATCGGGAAAGCTAGTGGGGTGAACGAGCGTCGGGTTGGTTGTTTGGAAAGTTCCCGGTTTGGCTTGCAAGGGGCGGGTTAGTACAGTAAAAGTGCCATTGGACATTGTACGCACGAGCTGCGGGGGAACGTGCTGTGAGCAGTAGTATGTTTTGCGCGTACAAGACTCCTGCAGACAGTTCTGCTCTTGAGGCATCTGTGTGTGTGTGTGTGTGTCTGTGTGTGTGTGTGTGTGTGTGTGTGTGTGTGTGTGTGTGTGTGTGTGTCTGTGTGTGTGGTTGTTAGTTGCCGCCTAGG